ATATTTACTAATTTGCTGTTCACAGAGACTATATAAAATATAACTACTGTGAATAATGAGAACTGACTATATCTCTTTGACTGATTGTTTATATTACTATGCTTATGGATATTTATATTATTTTATGGGTTACAATCCAGCTAACTATCATTATGTATTTTGTAGCTCAAATTTTTCCATCTTCAGTCATTGACAGTAACTTTACAGTGGAAAAGTCTAGCAGTAACTATTTTGACCAAGTGATCAACACCAACATCACCAATAATAATACATGTTGACGTTATGAATACTGTGAGGACGTTATGAATACTGTTATGAAAGGATGAGACACCCTTTCCAGGGTGCTCTTAACAGGGTTACACAACCTCACACCAATCATGAGAAGATTCCAGATAGGCTTGAAATGAGGGACATGCAGCAAAATAATGAATCAATACCATTCAGGGTACCAAAGTCATGAAAGACAAGAAAAGACTGAAGAGCTATGGCAGACAACAGGAGATCAGAGAGAAATAACAACGAAACACAATGTGGAATCCTAAGTGGAATATTGCAAACAACAACATCAAACAAAGAGACATTTGTGGGAAACTTCAAAGTGAAGTTCAAATGGAGTCTTTAGTTTATGGAACTGTACCAGTGTTAATCTCCTGGTTGTGATAATTATACTATGGTATGTAAGATGTTAACATTGGAGTATGCTGGGATACGGACATATAGAAACTCTCTGTACTATTTTTGCAATTTTTTTGTAAGTCTAAAAGTAGCTCAAAATTTTGTCATTGGGTGGTCTTGCATATTCCTGGTTGTAGCAGTTATGGAATGTACCAGAGAGGAGGTTAGGAAACTTCATTTCAGAGACCATGACTATAGGGAAATGTTCAATCTTCCAGATAGGTTATCTCAATCCCAAAACTATAGGGAACAGTATAGTAAGTAAATTCCCTCTATGTTAAGATATTATAGAAGACTTGGTCGTTCCTAGGCAGGATGCATCATTTCTAGCTAGTGACCTTGGGCAAGCCATAATCTCAGTTTCCTCATCCATAAAATGAAAGGGTTGAAATGAAGAATCTTACCTTATATCTCATAACCCTTAGAGCATAAAATCTTATGATTCGAAATTAAACTTGTTATTCAGCATTTGAAATCAGGCTCTGCAAGAATACCCTTTTGAATCCTTACATATTCTTCTTTCTTAGTAAGAAGCAGCAGTGTTGACATTTTACAACAAATCTAGAAAACAAATCACAATAGTTTGAAGAAATTCTAAGGCAGTGCCCCCTGAAGCTCATCTACAAGATAGATACAAATAATATGCTCATAAACAATATAAGCATACCTAAGATATCAAGAATTATGCAGCTCTTTAAAATGTATGAGCCACCAAAACATCACACGGAAAAGCAGATTATAAAAGTGCACATGTATAATGATCACGATAAACACTTTCATACACAGATAACTTTAGATGGGGATGTGATAGAACTCCTGATAATACTCTAGCAGAATATTATTTTAAGAGACAAGTTACTGAAATAAAAATATATTATATTCTGATAAAATGTAACATTCAGAACAAATAATGTTATATACATTTAATTCTCTCTGTAAGGGAAATCATAATTTTGTCAGACGTTTCTAAATAGTTTAAGAACTTAACTTCTGCCCATTTCATGATTTAGACCACTAGGGAAACATTAGAGAGTATGAGAAAGAAAGAAATGGATTTAGTATCCATCACTGTTTAATGATCACTCTACCAGGGCTTTAGGGTGAGGCTTTAGGGTGGAAGAGGTTGAATGTGAATCCTTTGTGGGCTTATGAGACAATTCCTCCCCCCCCTTTCTCTAGTGACAAATTCATCAGGTTGGTTTTTTTTTGGAACAGTAAAGAAGGAATAAGAAACAAAGATAATGACAAGAATGGAGTTCAATTTATGATGTTTCATATGGGTAGTAATCCTCTGCCTCATTTAAACTGAGGCAAGAAAGCTATCCTGTTAATAAATTTAAATTTAAATATTTTGAATTATAATTAATATACATTGAATTATTTGTTCAAATGAAATAATTCATCAGGGTTTAACAAATTAATCCTCTAATCATTACTAAACTCAATTTAAGTAGTAAAATCTAATATTAATAAAATGTGGTGACCAAATTAACATGGAATTAATACTGTGGACTCTTATCTGCTTAACTTTTCATCCTTACCTACTTTGATCAAGGAGCTTCATTCTTTGGACCCAATTTCATCAACTCTAGCATGGAAATAATATAGGTCATAACACCTATGGTTATAGTGAAGATTAAATGAAATAATATGCATAAAATGCTTGGCATAGTACCTAGTAAATGCTCTCTATGTGTGAATTATTAGTATGATATAATTTTTTCACAGATAAGTGTGTGTGTGTATGCATTTAATAAATGTATGAAGAGGAGAGGGAACAAATACAGAAAAATATTAACAGTAGTTATCTATGGGAAGAAGGATTATTGGTTTTGTTTATTTTATTTTTTCTTTTGCCAAGTTTCCTACAATATACATATATTTCTTCTGTAATTAAAAAGCATGTTATTTTAAAAACCAGGCAAAGTACACAAGAACTGTAAAACCACAAATATATTCTTTTATATCTTCTTCTCATTGATACATTATCTAGTCATTTCTGATCCCCAGAAAAAAATGGGTATAGACCGCTAATTTTCACCTAATCCTGATAAAAGTTAGGGTGGGTTTGCAAGGTGTCTTTGTGGACAAAAATGAAGAATAATTTTTTTTTTTTGAATTGGAGTCTCACTCTGTCGTCCAGACTGGAGGGCAGTGGCCGCTCCCGGCCACCACAGCCTCGACCTGCTGGGCTCCGGCGATCCTTCCGCCTCAGCCTTCCAAGTAGCTGGAATTACAAGCATGTGCTACCACACCCAGCTGATTTTTGGATTTATTGTACAGATGATGTCTCGCTGCCCAGGCGGGTCTCGAACCCACGGGCTCAGGCAATCCACTCACCTCAGCCTCCCAAAGGTGCGGGATTACAGGCTTAGCCACCGAGCCCGGCTATGAAGAATAATTTAAAAAATTAACTACTGTAATCCATCATATCAGGGAGCTAAAAAAAGTAAATCACATGATCTTATCAATAGCTGTAAAAAAGCATTTGACAAAATCCAGCACTCGTTCAGGATAAAACCTCTCAATAACTAAAAATAGAGGAGAATTTTCTCAACTTGAAAAAGAATATCTATAAAAAAAAACCTTACAGCTAACATTATATTTAATGGTAATAAACAAGCTTTCCCACTAAGATCAGGAACAAGGCAAGATGTACCCTTTCACCACTGCTTTCCAACATCATACTGGAAAACCTTAATTATTGGTAATGCAATAAGTCATGAAATTGAAATTAAAATTAAAAGAAAATTAAATTAAAATTAAACAGATTTAGAAGGAAGAAATAAAACTATCATTGCTCAAGATATGATCATCTATGTAAAAAGACCAAAGAAACAAGCAACAACAACAACAATAATAAAAAACCTATTGGAACTAATAAATGATTATATCAAAGTTGTAAGATACAAGGTTAATATACAAAAGTTAATTGTTTTCCTACGTATCAGCAACAAACAAGCAGATTTTGAAATTAAAAACACAATACCATGTGTATTAGCATGCAAAAAATATGAAATACTTAGGTATAAATCTAGCAAAATGTGTACAAAATTTACATGAGAAAAACTACAAAACCCTGATGAAAGACATCAATGAAGAACTAAATAAATATATAGACAGTCCATATTCATGGATAGTAGGACTCAATATTGTCAAGGTATCAGTTCTTCCCAAATTGATCTATGGAATCAATATAATCTCAATGAAAATGCCAGCAAGTTATTTTGTGGGTATTAACAAACTTATTTAGAAGTTTCTATAATAAGGTAAAAGATCTAGAGTAGTCAACACAATATTAAAGAAGAAGAAGAAAGTTGGAGGACTGACACTACCAGACTTCAAGATTTACTATAAAGTTATAGTAATTAAGACAGTGTGGTGAAAGAACAGAGAAATAGATTAACGAAATAGAATAGAGAACTCAGAAGTAGGCCCAAATATATAAAGACAACTGATCTTTGACAAAGGAGGAAATGGAATACAAGGGAGAAAAGACAGTCTTTTCAACAAAAGGTGCTGGAACAACTGGACATTCATAAAAAAAACAAAAAAGAAAAAAAAAGGAAGAAGAAGAAAAATCTAGACACAGGCCTTACTCCCTTCAGAAAAATCAACTCAAATAGATAAATGTAAAACACAACAGTATAAAACTTTTAGAAGATAACATAAGAGAAAATTTAAATAATCTTGAGTTTTGAAATGACTCTTTAGAATCAACACCAAAGATATGACCTATGAAAGAATTAATATGCTAAACTTCATTAAAACTATTAATGTCCGCTCGGTGAGAGCCACTGTAAAAGAATGAAATGACAAGCCACAGACTGTGAGAAAATATTTGTAAAAAACCTGTGTGATAAAGAACTGTTATCTGAAATATTTTTTAAAAAAAAAAACCTCTTGAAACTCAACAATCAGAAAACAAACCACCCAATTAACAGGCTGGGCATGGTTACTCATGCCTGTAATCCTGTAGAGGCTAAGAACAGGAGCCCAAGATCAGCTTGGGCAACATAGCAAGACTCCATTACTACAAGAAATTAACCAGGTCTGGGGGTGCACGCATGTAGTCCCAGCTACTCAAGAGGGTGAGTTGGGAGGATCATCTGAGCCCAGGATTTGGAGACTGCAGTGAACTACAGTCACGCCACTGCACTCCAGTCTCAGTGACAGAGCAAAACCCTGTCTCTAAATAAGTAAACACTTTAACAAACACCTCACCAAAGAAGATATACAAGTGGCAAATATGCATATGAAAAGATGTTCCACTTCCTATGTCATCAGAGAAATGCAAATTAAAATAATAAGATACTAATACTCACCTATTAGAATGACCAAAATCCAGAATACTGACAGCACCAAATACCGGCAAGGATATGGAACAACAGAGACTCATTCATTGCTGGTGGGAATACAAAATGGTATAGCCACTTTAAAAGACAATTTGGCACTCTTCAAAAAAAAAAAAGAAACATACTTTTTCCATAAAATTTAACAATCAAGCTTCTTGGTGTTTACCCAAAGGAATTGAAAACATATCCACATATAAGCATGCAAATACTTTACTCATATTGCCAAAACATGCTACCAACATGTCCTTTGGTAGATGAATGAATAAACTATCCTACATTCAAACAATGAAATATTATTCAGCACTAAAAAGAGATAAGCTACCAAGATATAAAATGACATAAAAGAAGCTTAATGCATAATAATAAGTGAAAGAAGCTAATCTGAACAGAGTACATACTATATGATTCCAATTATATGACAGTCTGGAAAAAGTGAAACTACAGAGACAGTAAAAAAGACCAGTGGTTTCCCAGAGTTAGAGGTGAGGAAAAAGTGAATAGGTGAAGCACAGACGATTTTTAGGGCAGTGAAACTGCTCTGAAATAATGATGGATACATGTCATTATACATTTGTCCAAACCCATACAATGTACAACACCAAGAGTGAACCCTAATGTAAACTATGGACTCTGGGTGATAATATTGTGTCAATATAGGTTCATCCACTGTAATGCATGTACCACTCCAGTGGAGGTTGTTGGCATGGAGAAGGCTATGCATGTATAGGGTTAGGGGTATATCAGAGATCTCTGTGCCTTCCATTCAATTTTCCTGTGAACATAAAAATTGCAAAAAAAGTAAGTCTATTAAACATCTACTGTATATTTCAAAAAGACTATATAAAGTTCTCAGTAATGAATGAATCTTGCCATGTCTCTGAGTAACTGTTCTTGATGGCTCTTTTCCTGTCATGCTCACAGGTTAATGACTATATTTATTTCACTTTGAAATTTTATGTAGAGATTTCAGACAGTAACAAGGATCCCAAAACCCAACAGATTAGTCAAGAAACTTTTTGCTCAAACTTTGTACTTCTAATTAAACACCTAGTTTATTCTTTATGACTGCTATTCCTGGTGTTACCATACAATTGTAAAACGAACCTCTTATGTAACGAGCTGCCAATGACCTCACATAACCCATAGGTAAACTGGAAAGTGACCTCTGCTGTACTTCTCTCTTGGATCATAAACTTCTCTTTAACAAGATACGATGCTACTGGCCTACCACTCATCACTGGGGTATGCTTTCCAGTGTAGCTAAAATATTCATGCTTATTCAGCTACTTACACTACTACTTAATCTTCCCCAGGGGCCAATTTGCCACAGCTGCCCACGGTGAAAGTACAACCAGTGTCCATAGGAGAGAATCAAGTTAACAATATATCTAGGATTGAATCCATGATTTGGTTTCATTGGCTCCATGAAAAGTATGATCAGGTAAGCTGTGAACAGAACTAAAAGTACAATTTAATCCACTGACTTCCTATTTTTAAGAACACCTAGAGGCTATTTTCCAGTAAATCCTAAGTGAATTATTAAGGATTGTTAGCAAACTAAACTTAGTATATTGCCAGATTTGATCAAGTATTTATTCTATATTTTCCTAAAATGTGCCAGCAAATGTCTGCCAGTGTTTGGAAGCTCCCACTGGGCATGCCCCACATATAAATAGAATTACTGAAAATTTTTAGAAAGGGCACTTAAAAAGGAATCTCATCAATGTTTATTTGAGTTGGTCAGGTTTTTAATTACTGGTGATTTTTCTTTTTAATTATAAATTCTTCTTAGTTTAACATCTTCATTATGGATTTAGTTTGTTGTAGGATGTTGGGTTAATAACAACTACTGTTTGAGTGTTTAGTCCAAGCCCTAAGCTGAACTCTCATTTGTTTCCCACACCTGTTTGGGACAGATAATGACAGATAAAGAAATTAAGGCACAGAGAAACTAGATAACTTGCCTAAGATCACACAGATAGAAAGTGCAGTTTCAGGTTTTGAACACAGAGATCTTCATTGTAGATCAGAGGTCACTAAACTGTCTCCATGAAGGGCCAGATACTAAATATTTTGGTCTCTGTAGGCTGTCGGGTCCCTGCTCAACTCTGTTGTTATAGTCCCAGAGCAGCCATACACAATATATTTTTAAATGTATGTGACTGTGTTCCAATAAAACTTTATTTACAAAAACAAGCAGTAGACAGGACTTGCCTGTAGGTCATAGTTTACTGACCCCTGCTGTAGATCCATTACTCTTAATCACTATGCCACTTAACCATTTTCTCTCCTAGCTTTCAGAGAAATGCATATGCAGACTAGTAGACTAAAATGTTCCAATAGCTATACTGAGACACAAAGGCATTGCAATTCAATTATTAATTATTTATGCCCTTATTGGTAAATAAGATATAAAATGTGGCAATATATTTATTGATGATGTGAGGAAATTATACTTGCTTTTATTTTTGGTTGTAACATATGGTCAAGGAGAATGTAATACAATTATAAAATTTATATCACAACATTTCAGGATGTAAAATCGATATTAAAATATAAGCTTATTGTTTTGTGATTTTTTTTAATTTTATTTTAAAGATGTCGGTACAATTCAGGAGCCTATTGTTTTAAAGTAAGCATACAATCTATATATTTTGGGCCCCCTTGCTTTATATTATCTAGTTGGAACACATGATGCAGGGAGACCAAGGGATCTTTTGAGCCTCCTGGGATGACCACTGTCCAAAAATGTTTGAAAGTCATCACTCTGAAGGAATGAACTAGGGAGGCTTCTAGGGCCAAATCATACCTGGGAGGAGATCCCAAATGGCAGTGGCAGGGAGTGAGAGCATTTGATATTCAGCAAGAGTCAATAAAATGATTCCTGTTAAAGACAATTGTATCCCCCAAAATTCACATGTTGGACCGCTAACCCCCATGTGACAATATGGAAGAGGGCCTTTGAGGAGATAATTAAGGTTGAATAAAATCATTAGGATAGGGCTAGAATCTAATGTGACTGGTGTCCTTCTCAAAAGAGGAAAAGACACCAGAGCTCACCCTCTCTCCATACATACACAGAGAAAAGGCCATATGAAGACAAAGAGAAGGCATTCATCTGCAAGCTAGGAAGAGGGGCCTTGCCACAAAGTATGACTCTTGGCACCTTGACCTTGGACTTCTAGCCTCCTTTAGAACTGTGAGAAAATAAATGTCTATTGTTTAAAACACCCAGTCTATGGTATTTTGCTATGGTAGCCAGAGCAGACTAATATAGCTCTGAATTTGAATGTAAATAAAATTATATAAACTTCCACAAGCTACTAGTTAGTTGTATATTCACTAACTGTTGACTGAGATTATATTAATACATATGTACATACAAATAATTAGATATAATGAATTCAGTAATTACTAATGAATTCTGTATTTACTAATCATAACAATATATAAATATCTTTTGAGAAAAAAGTTGCATGCATAGCTGGGAGATATTTTTTATTCAGTTGCAGATAAAGCATTACCTGCTTGGCACTAATATGTTTGTACAGTCAACCTCCTTACAAAATTTACCTCATTGCTCCCCCCACCACTAACATCCTCAATCTTTAGGGTGGGATTCATCTATTTCCAACCCCTTTTTAGTCTGTCTAAATTAGGACTACCTTGGGCTCAGTCCTTCTTCCACAGCTGCCTCCCTTGATGGAAGGCATGGCACATAGAGAATAAAATGTATCAGCCACAGTTTGAGAAAATGATCTAATTACAGGGATCCCATGAACCAGGATAGATTTTAGACCAGAGAAGAGTCATGGCAGCAACAGGATTGAAAGCGGACTTGTTGCTATACATCTTATCACACATCAGTATTCTTTTCCTGAGACTGGAAGCTCATTGGAAAGAAGCACTAACATCTTCATCTTAAATTTTCTTCTGCATCCTTCGTGGAATTGATAATTGTAGGAGCTTAATTGACATTATGTAACAAAAAAGGGGTTCAAACAAGGGGTTTCCAAACGTGGCTCGTTATCAGCATCACCTAAGGAGTTTTTAAAGCTGTGGGTGACCAACCCTATTCTGTGCGTCTCTGAGGGGTGGGATCTGAGAACCTGCATTTTACCACACTCCTTTCCCCTCTCCCCTCCCCCGTTAATTCTGAAACCATTGTTTTGGTGCCATTTCTCAGATTTGCATTTGATAACTGTGTTAGACGAATATACTCAATGGCCTCAATTAATGGCTACCTTACATCCTCTTCCTTTGCTTTCATCACTGTGTAGTGTCATACCACCGTGACTCTGAGCTTGCCCAAGTGACTTGCTTTGGACTACGGAATTTTAGCCAACTTGGTGCAAGCAGAAACTTGGAAAAGTGTTTACCCACATGTTTTCATCTTCTCTCTTCAACCACTGCTACTGCAATGAGAGTATCCTAGGCTAACCCGCTGGAAGGATGAGAGAAGCATGTGGAATAATAAAGTCAAGTCATCCCAGTCATCCCAGCCAAGATAGACCAGGCAGCCCCCAGCCTACTTACCAGTTGACTGTAGATGCATAAATAAGCCCAGCTAAAATCAGTCAAGACAATTTCAGACAGCAGAATCGCCCAGTGAACTGTAGTCTTGGGACAAATAATAAATGCCTGTTATTTTAAGTCACTAAAGACTGGGGTGACTCGTTCCACAACACAGCTAACTGACATAACAACTATGGTACAGAGTGATCAGAGGGACAGAGCATCGAAACTAAAGGCTGGACATTCATAGTGTCAGGGAGTCCTATCGAAATTTTGGATTTCTGGCCTAGAGGATGACATTGAAAAGAAGAAAGGGGATTTTTTCGAAAGTCAGGTGTCTAATAAATGCTAACTTAAAGTTTAGTTTCATTGATTTCTTTGCTGGAGGATTTCAAAGCCTTTCACATGAATCAAGATAAATCTTCCAGAGGAAAAGTTTGTAAGCAATGTTTCCCAAATTTATTTGACCACTGAACTTTCTCTATCCTTGATCCCTAAGCAGAGAATATACAAAATTAATATTCCATAGTAAAGAC